CCTTTATTCTAGCTTAACTTCAAACAACCATAACTTATCAACATAAAGGTATCGACAGGCTCTACAAATCTATCTTGATACTTATGACTAAAAACATCTCGAACTAAAATCCTTAATTTATGCAAGAAGCCCGAAACAAAACCTTTCCCATTTTACCCCTCAGCTTCCATCAAACAATCTAAAGTTTAAATCACTTGTCCAACGTCATATACCTCCAATAAAGTCTAAACTCTATTCCATTGAAGCCTACTGGCTCCATGTGATCTATTTATTGTCCACATGTAACACCTATTCCAAGTATTACCTGACTTATTTAAAATCTAGGGTTTTGGTGTGTGTGGACTCGGCGAGTTGGGAGTCCAATTTGTCGAGTAGAGGGCATTTCAAGGACGTGGGATCTACACTATATTCGACGAGTCGAAAGGCCAACCCGACGAGTAGACGTTGTAATGATAAAACCCTAATTTTAGGGTTTTGTACCCTATATAATCTCCTTAAGGGCCTTGAGGCTGACCTCCCATCAGCCTCCAAACCCTAAGAACGTCTATGTTAACCCTAATCCCTATTCTCTTCCATTTTTTGAGCTAGTGTCGTTTTGAAGCTTAAGAAGAAGGAGATAGTGTGAAGATCCAGCAAACCAAGCATCCATCCTTGAGCTTTACCATCTTGTGGACTGCTGTAAGTCTTCAAGACTCGATTTTTATCATAGAATATGGCTAGATCTTGAGTTTACTCTTCATTTCCCACCCTTCTTGTTGATTGCATGCATGAGATTTATAAAGTTTGTAACTTTACGAATCTCCCGGGCAAAGATGGTCCCAAGGTGGGTTAGATATGACCTTTGGTTGAGTAAAGACACCATGCAAGGGTTTTAGGGCATATTTCCCTCTTTTTGGCCATCTTGACTTAGGGACATGCATTGGACATGCATGTCCATAAAGCCTCCATCTTTGGAACATTTTGAGGACTATAAACTCTTTTGGAAAGGAGGGATTCAAGATCCCTAGAGTTTGGACCATATGGAAAAGCCTTAGAGCTTTCCAACCTTTGATAAGGGCCCTAAAGTATTTGGAACGGTTCTAGAAGGTAAAGTTGGAAACTTTATCCTTCTAGAAACCTTAGGGTTTTAGATCTAAGCCCTGGAGTCCCTGCATTCGGTGTATCATCACAACAAGAAAACAGGAAGTGGGACTCGATGAGTTCCCCTAGCAACTCGACGAGTCGGGTTGGGTTTCCCCGTTTTCTAAATATCAACCGAACTCGGTGAGTTGATGAAACAACTCGACGAGTTGGCTAGGGTTTGATCAGATCTTTTGGACTCGGAAGGAACTCGACGAGTCTCTAGATGCACTCGACAATTTGAAGTCAACATAGACCGTTGACTTTGACTGATGACCTTGGCTTTGACCAAGGTTGACCACGGTTGACTTTAGGGTTAATTTTTGGGTTTATGACAAGTCTATCTTAAAATGCATTTAGGAAGTTGAGTTGGAGCAGCATGTTTGACATATCTGACTTTAGTTGTCAGTTCAGTATTCGTGAGAGGTGAGTCTTCTCACCATACCAATGGGTCTAAAGCACCAAGGCCGACCCATTTTATGATATGTGATTGTTGGTTGATTATGCACCATGTTAGTATGGTATGGTTGGCTAAGACTGTGTGGGGGTTCCTGTGGCATTTGGTATAAGACCTTGGAGGGTTTCCATGGCATCCTAGTACGCTTGCATGATTAGTTGTATGATACTTATTTAGTAGAAAGACCATGTGGGGGTTCCCATGGCAGGAAGACCATGTGGGGGGTTCCCATGGTAGATAGTAAGACCATGTGGGGGTTCTAGTGTCACTAGGTGTAAGACCTTGGAGGGTTTCCATGGCTTCCTTATATGTTGGTAGGCATGACTTATTGGTATATGTAGATTTATGGCTAATTTGTTGTGTGATATGTGGATTGTATGTACAGTATGCTCTGGGGAACTCACTAAGCATTAGCTTACAGTTTGTGGATTTGTTTCAGATACATCTAAGCCCAAGTGCAAGGGCAAGGCTTGATGGCGCGACGTACACTCTCTCACTGACATTTTGTGGGACACTCTGATGTTTTTAAATAAAAATGTAATGGAGGTGGATTTGAAAACAATTGTGTTTGGATTTCATGGTTTATGAAAATGTGAAAAAAAACATTAGAAATGGTCCCTGTGGTTACCCAAAATCTGAAGTTTAGTCCCCGTGGTTTAAAAACCTCATAGATGGTCCCTGTGTTTTCAAAACTTTTGACGATTGGTCCTTATTGCTAACTCCGTTAACTTTTGTCCGTTAATTGAGGGGCATTTTCGTCATTTCACACCACAGGGACCGTTTATGATCTTTTTAGTTATTTTTTTAAAAAAAGAAAAAACTAAATATAATTATTTAATATATAAATTTTTCTCTCTTTTTCTCTCTCTCTCTCTCTCTCTCTCTCTCTGTCTCTGTCTCTGGAAAACACAATCGAATCTTCATCATATGGTGGTGTTACCGGTGTTAACGGGTGGTGGTGGTGGTGTAAAGATTCAAACCAAATTCAATACAAGTGCACGTCCTATCTCTTTTCCAGATTCATACACATCCATACAAAGATGTTTTTTTTATAAAGATTCAAACAAAATTCAAAACAAATACACACCCTCTCTCTTACGAATTCAAAAGCCAGAAATAAAGGGAAAGAAATCTCAGCACCAATCAACATGTTTGCATTAAGCAGATTAGGAGTAGAAACAAATGAATCAAAAATCAATTGGTTATCATATCTTTTGGAAGGCTTAATCGTAGTTATTTGAGAAAAGGATGATCTTAGAAGGGTTTAACCCCACACCAACCCTCACTACCATTTTCTCTTTGTTCCTCTTGTATCTTTCTATTCTTGTAGGTCCAAATCTAGGTAAATAGCCCTCTCCACCCCTACTCCCCTCTCTGTTTCGGTAATCCCCATCTCCATTTTGATTTGCCCCATTATGAACAACCTTTTTCAAACCTCAAAAATATATGGAACCTAGATGGGGAGACAGACACGAGGTTATAAGAAGAAACTACAAAATGAGGCCAGAGCATCTTCATATTTAGAAATAAAAAAATGAGTCTGATCGTTATTGATCGAGATCAGACTAGAAAGGGGGTGATGGACTTATGCAACAGATGAGATTTCTGTTTCAATCTTCAATGGTTGAGTTCCTTCGATGGCAGAAACGATCTTCAATAAATGAGAATTAGGGGCGATCTATCGACTATCATCTTCAGATTCAGATGAGATCCATTGTTTTTGTGCATCGCCTGAAGTTGTCGGAACCCTAGCCTTCATCCTCACCATCACTACTGACATCGTTTTCAACTAAAATCCCTAACAGGTCCTGGCGCTTAATACCTACAATGATACAAGCTCCTAGAAGGCAAAGAGATGGAATTCGTGTTTGACAATAGAGGAGTGAAGCATAAGATTGGGAATGAGGATGAACGACGAAATTAGTTGAAACTGATTAAACCAGTGGAGAGAGAGAGAGAGAGAGAGAGAGAGAGAGAGATTATATATATTAAATAATTATATTTAGTTTTTTCTTTTTTAAAAAAATAACTGAAAAGATCATAAATGGTCCTTGTGGTGTGAAATGACAAAAATTCCCCTCAATTAACGGACAAAAGTTAACGGAGTTAGCAATAAGGACCAATCGTCAAAAGTTTTGAAAACGTAAAGACCATCTATGAGGTTTTTAAACCACGAGATCTAAACTTCAGATTTTGAGTAACCACATGGATCATTTATGATGTTTTTTCTAAAAATGTGTTTGATTTATTTAAAAATGAAAAAATTCTTTGGAAAATTTGGATTGTTACACCATTATCCTTAAATAAAAACTTTCAAAGATGTTACAAATAATCACTCAAAAAAGAGTTATTTCTATGTAATTACTCAAAAGAATAATGGTCTCTCTTAGTTATCTCAGGCCGTGAGACGGTCTCATTGAAATATACCCATATGCTTAATACTTCTACCAACTTTTTATTTTTTTGAAAAAATAAAGTTACATGTATGGTCCATGTGTTTTCTAAATTCCTATGCATCGTCTCTAAATTTCTTTTTCTTGACGAGATTTGTAGTTTCAATTCATTATGTGGCTTGTCCCTATGATTTAATTTTATTACACATTTTATATGAAATTACTATTTTGCACCTAATTTTAATAAATAAACACAACCCCTCCCCCCCAAAACACTATTAATAGATACATGCTCGCCTTATAACTCATCATTCATTCCTTTTCTCTTTATATTTATATGTTGACTATTATCGATCACGCATACCATTGTCACCCTTCATTGGAAGACCATATGTTGCCTCTTAACCCATCCCTTCTTCCCGTTACTGACCACTCTTCCCTTCCAAGTTTCAAATTCCTATTCTTCCTTAAAGCACTCACCAACGAAAAAACTCCATTCACCATTGTGATTAGAAGTAATGACTAAAAACAAAAACTCAACTCCATCCCTTTAGGGACAACAATCACAACCCATTTGATATTGTTCGATTTTGATGTAGATATAAACATCCATAAGGTTCGAACCCATTTGATATTGTTCGATCTTGAAGTAAGGATCAGAAATTGAAACCCATAAGGTTCAAACCACCATATCCACCATCTTCGTCTCCGTGAATTTGATATTGTTCGATTTTAATGTAGAGATAAACATCCAAATATGATGTGGTCCGATTTCGATTTTGCATCTTATTTTCAATTGCTTAACATAGATTTTGAGTTCCCTTTAATGTGGTTCCCGATTTGTTTAATATGAGTTCAATTAGGTTTAACCTGGTGAAGATATGAACATGTAGTGGTTCATCGATTTGTTTTTGTAGGAATGTTGGTTTTGTTAGACCACTAAACGAGGTATGATATGTGTGTTTATGTTAGTTTTTCTAGATACTTTTGGTGTATAAATAAGAAACTAAAAATGACAGTGATGGGTGGTGATGGAAGAGGGTGGGAAGGGAAGAGGTATTGGCGGTGTTTGGTTTGACTGGGGGTGTCATGGGAGAAAAGGTGGTGGTCGGAGGCTTTGGGATATCATGAATAAAGAAAGTGATAAAGGTGGATGGGTAGACTAATTCATCGGTTCTCCTATTTAATATAGACAAGTTTAATTTACAACAAATTTTTCTATAATTAAACTAGGAAAAGGACTAAAAAGGAAAAAAAAAAAAAAAGATAATATATTAATAATAATATAAAAATCATTTTACGCGGGTAGGTACCAAACAAGAAAAACATTTGAAATCAACGAGATCATCATCATCGAAAGAAAATTAAAGGACTGTACTTATGACTTTTCAAAAATACAGGGACCATCTATGTAATTTTGTCTTCTGCATAAAATGCTACACTCTTCCTGAGCCCTCGAGCACAACTAAACCCTAGAGATTCCGTCGCCGAAACCGGTTCTTCCTGTCGCAGACTCCATAATAGAGCACCGAAGGGGCATGTAGCCTTGCGAGTCTGTTCAGGACATTGATTCCTGGATGCGGTAATATTCAGTTATGTGTATATGAGTCTCTATTTATACAAAGCTCGGAATGGAAACGAATTTTTTTTGTTAAGTTCTGATGATATTCTTCACTTTCTAACCTCCCATAATCTTCGATCAATTTGAAATGTTTTCGTTACTTGTCTGTTTTGTGGGGATGCTTCTGTGCGTTGTCGAACACAACATGTAGCTGTTTGAAAACGAAAATTAAGATTATTGCATCGGAGTTAACTTAGGGGCATCAATCCTCTGTTTTGAATTAAAATAAACATTTTATTTTTGGTATTAAAATAAAATCCATGATTGAGATTATTTTGTGTTGACAAGGTGTTTTGTTTTCTTTCACTGGCATCTTTATGCTGCAGTTTATATGCTTCGGTTTAGCATAACAAAAGCATATGCATACTTCCCTTCTTATGTTTGCTTCCATTTTGTATGTAATTATTTCAACATCCCCATGATGAAATATTTAGTAATCTGAATGTGTACATGTTATTGCAAATGTGGTGCTCCCTTCTGCTTCCTATAAGCATAAGGTAGAGGAATCACAATTTCACAACTACATGTCAGGCTGATAATAGGCATTCTGAGGGATATACATATATTTATCATATCGTATGGTATTCTGCCTTTTATTTTATTTAAAATTAGGATTCTAATAATTATAGTTATTCATTCATTCATTGTTGTTGCAACCTTTTCCTAGATTCTAGGCTATGGTAATGTAAGTGATATGCTAAAAAGCATATCAATTTTGTGTATATCACAAAAAATGTTGTGTTGAATCAACTTGGTTTCTCTATTTTCTCTTTAGGGATCTATTAGACTATTTGTGTGCATTCCCTATATCACTAAACAAAAACACAAGGTTGAAGTTGATGAAAATATAAAATCAACACATAATATTTAATTAATGGATTGTAGTTATTTTGGGAGCTATGATAAACATGATCCAGCTCAGTTAGATAGTTTGATTGTTCTAATCATCTGATCATGTAAAAAAGATTGTCTAAAAGTGTTTTTAAATAAAGTTTCTTAACGATTACATAGATTAATTGAATGTGTATTTTAACAATTTGCTTGGATATAATTAGCGGTATCCTGTGACATTCTTCATCACCAACTCTTTCTTTTGTTAATAATTTCATGTTGTTTGAGAAAATAAAGTGATTTTTACGATGGTAATATCGAAAACCAAATCCATGGTTAGATTATAAATACTCAAAAGCTTATATTTATTTTGCGAACACATAAGGTGTTATTAGTGATAGTCTGTTGATTATACATAAAATATGTCACCCAAATAAATAAATAAAGATTAGTTTTTGTTAGAAAAAAAAGTATCAAACTTTTGCAAGAGTGGGTTTTAACAAAATAGATGGTCATTTGATAATAAAAAACAAGATATGGTATAATAGTATTATTTTTCAACTTTTTAATTTTAAATAACGTCGAATTGTTTCAAAGTAAAGAATCTTATAAATCACGAACACTATTTTAAATGTTCATCTAAAGTCATCACTCATCAGCCCCCTTCATGGGGCATTTGGTAATTTTAGTGAATATTTTTTTCTTTTCTTTTCAATTTTTAGCATACTAGAAAATAAAAAATAATACAACTTTTAAAAACAGGTGAATCTATAGTTGCCAAATGGCAGGAAACAGGCCACAAGAGGCGTGTTTGGAGGAAACGTGGTCGTTTTATCTAGAATCAAGCTAGCCAACAACACTACTGTGCTGTCCGTCGAGTTGACTACGTCAAACTTACTCGTCATGACTCATAGTGACTTACGACGCCTTTTATTATTATTATTATTATTATTATTATTATTATTATTATTATTATTATTATCATTATTATTATTATAAATTACCCTACTTATTTTATGTGGTCCACATTTAATTATCAAATTAAATTACTAAAAACTAAAAAGAGAAAGTGAAAAAATTATCGATTATTACGATTCACTTTAAGAATCTTCACATTTTCGTAAAGGCAAAACTAGTTTTTCATTTTTTTTTTTTTTTTTAATTTGAAATAAACAGTTAATACTTCAAAGATAGCCTAAGGTTACAATAAGAATCTAATTAAAAGTAAAACACAATTTTTATAGTTTACTGTAAATAAAATTTTCACCAAACCCTCGAAAATAATTACAGTTTCATGAGTTACCGCCGGCAGACAGCAAGGGAAGGGAATTTATATTTCTCCTTAACAGCGACACAGAAAGCAGAAAGCGACGTCGGCGTGAACTCTAAGTAAAATTATTTTATTAAATACAACAAAAATCCTAAATATAAAATATGAGTAGTACCAATTTTATATGAATAATTACAAACAGCACACACCATTTCTTTGTCAAATGCGTCTCTTCAATTTATAATATTGTTATATACTTGTTTAATTTATTTGTCATCGATCATATTCGAATGGGTTGAACTAAGTTTCAGTATCATCTTCAAGATTCCCAATTTTCTCCTTACCTCCGACAACATCGAAAAGGTTAGTCAATTCAATTCTATCCTTTTTCAATTCAATTAGGGCTTCCTGTTTTCAATTGATTGGATATCTGTTTATAGGTATTAGGTATACGTATCATACTCCATGCACGCGCATGGAGTTTGGAATGGTGATGATATTTAGGGATATTTTCCTTTTTAATCGGAATTGATGTCTATATGCTCAGTGATTGATTACTACGAACTAGATTTACCAATTTTAATGATGTTATTAGTTGAGTTTTTACTTTCCTGATGAGTTTTGTTTTTCTAAGGATTCGAGAATATGCCCACAAAACGTCAAGATGAAGATCAACAAGCACACAACATCTCTCCATCAACAGCGTATTCACAACCTTGGTGGCATGGAATTGGAAATGGCGTGATGTCTTCTTTTGGTGAAACAAATGGTGTTATCAAGTTCGGAGATAAATTACAAACCACTAGTGATGATGCTGTTGAAGATACAGATTCCCCCAGTGGTATTTATGGTGAATTTTATTTAGTCAATTCATATATTTAAGAGTGTGTTTCTTTACAATTGACATAGGAATCAACATTTCTGGATTGAACATCAACAATTGCCAAGAACAGGAACAAGTCAAACAAGTTGAAACGAGTTCACTAATGGAAATTGTAATCTCTTTTATTGTACATATATGTATGTTTATATTGGCAATTACTAACTAGAGATTTAACTTTCTGATATATATAAAACCATTTTGCAGATGTTGACATCTAATTTGTATCAGGATCCACATTATTCAGGAAGGATGACTTATGGAACACAGGTGAGAATGTAATAGATTATAGATAGTTAGATACACCATTATGCAAGAATGATGAGTTATATATTTAGTTTTTCTAATTATTTTTTGGATCCAGACACATCCAAATTTACATAGAATGCCATTACCCCTTCAAATGGAAGAGGAGCCTGTTTATGTAAATGCAAAACAATACCATGGGATTCTAAGGAGAAGACAATCAAGGGCAAAAGCAGAAATGGAAAAAAAAGTGATTAAATCCAAAAAGGTAGGATTAATAAATGCATACATGTTAAATAAATTTCCATTGTTAGTTAGTTATATTATTGGCATCCGATTTTCTAGCCTTATCTTCATGAATCGCGACACCAACATGCTATGAGAAGGGCTCGGGGTTGTGGGGGCCGCTTTCTGAATACAAAAAAGGTCAGTGATGACATGGACACAAATTCTGTACAACAAAAGGAGCCAAAATCAGGTGTATCTAATTTCCATGGAAGCTCTTCAATCTTTGAAGATATGCTTAAAAGAAACTCTTCCTCAAATGACAACAATGATGATCATCATGGTTTGTCATCAACATTCAACTTCCATTTGATGGGTAGGGAAGACGCAGTGCATTACTTCAAAAGGGAGAAGGGTAATTTGGTAAATCAAATCCCAAAAAGAGACCCCTATTACAAATGAGAAAAGGTCAGTATCTGTTGAGAAATCTCAAAACAAACAACTTGGACATAATTACCCCACACCAAATCTCATTTTTTTTAAAACCAAATTTAGTGTAAATTTGCTCCAATAGGTTATTTAAAATAAATAAATAAATAATATGGAAAAGGGGTAAATAAGTAATATATATATTAGAATTGGTAAAACTGGTTTTGTTTTTGATATTTTGCAGGGGTGAAGTAGATGTTGTTTTCCCTGTGTGTGAGTGTTAACTGGCAATTCATTCTTGGCTTTGGTTACTTACTTGAAGGGTTATTAATGGTGAAGCGTTGATAATCTTTTGTGCAATATGGAGTTGTACTATGTACGAAGAAGTTGTACATTTTGGAATCTCAAAACAATGTTTTTTTTTTTTTTTAAATACTTGAAAGGTATGGTTTGCGGATGACCTCATACACTAGCTGCTCAGCATGTTTGGAACTGGTGATTTTTATTTCTTTTGAACTGTAATCGTGGACTTGCCCTAAAGAAGCTCATAAATTCGTATGATTTCCCAACAAGGATTCCAATGTTCAGACTTAAATGTCATTGCATTATAGTCATTAAGATCATATTACATATATCTTCATTTATTTACAATAGAGAGAAATGTGAAATGTGAAAAGATAATAATGCCATTATCTGAGTAAAATGGAGAAAAAAAAAAGAATTAAAACTTTTGATTAAGAAGTACCATAAGACCCAAGGGTGTATACAGTAACAATATTTCATTTTTTGTCTTCCATACGAGTCTTTCGGTCATTTTTTTTCCCCACCAAAACTCAGGATGTGTTTGAGAACAATTTTTAATTTTATGTTTTTTTTTTTAAATAAAAATAGTTGATTTTTAAGATTTATATATATTTTTTTAAAAATGAATAATAAACATAAAAATTAATTAAAATTAAAACACCACTTCATTATTTAAAATAAAAAGTACATAAAAAACAAAGATTAAAATAACTAGAAAAAAAAAAAAACCTACATTAAAAAAAAAAAAAGAACCAATTTCATAATTTTCTCTTTCTTTTTCAAAACTAGATAGAGGTTTGTCTTGAAAGATGATCGGTGCTCTCTATCGAGAATTGTTTGAAGGAGAGAGAAGCAGAAAACCCTCCCTTACTCCTATCCCGCACACCCATTCCTACACCCTCGGTGTTGTGTTTCGAGGTGGGGGATCCGTTCTTGCTTTTGCTTCCGGCTGCACTTCATTCGGCCTAATAATAATAATAATAATAATAATAACACATTTTTTTCAAAATTTACTCTTAAACCAGTCATAGTTTATCATTTAGCTTGTGTGTATGGGAGAATATTTAACTTGAGAAAAAATAAGACAAATTTAGCCTAATTTTATAATTATTTCAAAATAGTTAAAAAAAAAAAAACTCAAATAGCTAATAAAATTGCAATTGACACTTAATTGTTGAAACCAAGATTCGTACAATATGAAATTACAATGTGGAACTTAAGATGAATCAATCTCAAATAAATAAAGAATCAGTGACATATTTCCGCATTTTTTTGGAAAACGGCAAATATATATAAATAAAACTACAACAAGATGATGTGGTAGAAGAGTACAAAAGACAACAGAAAAACATTAGAATTACAAACAATGAAAAGGGCAAATATTCCACTCTCCGATCTATCTTTTTAAATGAAGTTCCATGCTTACTCCAGATGAACGATAAAGTCTTTATCCTTTCCATAATCATTGTTGATTTCATGTAAACGTTCTCAAAGATCCATTTATTTCGCCTAACCCATATGCACCATAACGTACCACATAATATCATATTCAACAAGCTTTGTTGTTTCTTATTACCAGACCATCTTGATATGAAAAAAAGCATGTCCTTAACCGAGGAAAACTTCTCACACCCAATTCCACACCAATTAAGTATCGAATCCATAGTCTCCTTTGCCATCGGGGTGAAATCAGAATATGATCACACGTCTCCTCATCAATATTACAAGCTCTGCACATTGTAGTTGGGATGCTGACTACACGATGGCTAAGAGCCACAGCAGAAGGGATTCGCCCTAGCTTAGCTCTCCAAATGAATGCTAGAATCTTGAACGAAGTAGCCTTACCCTAATCAAATGGTCCATCATTAATAATGAATCCAACTAATTTAATTCGTTCTCTTAACTTACAAACCATAAAACGACCTTCGACTGTAAATTCTGATTCCCACATGTTGTCATTCGAATTCCAAGATATAATTTCTTTAAGGTCAATGTTTATCCTTTCCAAATACGATCTCATTTAGTGATATTCTTCCACACCCCTTTGTTTGATTTGTTAGTCAACACCGACCAATGCCTTCCATCTAGCTTGTGGATACATCGAATTATCCTTGCCCACAAAGCAGAATCTTTAGTTTTCAGCCGCTACATCCACTTGGCTAGTAGTGAAATATTGAGGGACTTAATGGAACCCAACACTATACCTTCCACATTCTTTGGCGAAATAAGCTTATCCCAGGAGACCCAACATATGCTTTTTTTATCATACAACCTTCTCCAAATAAAATACCTTCTAATTCTTCTTAAGGTGTCAATCACTATATTAGGAACCACAAAGGTAGACATATAGAACGTTGGAAGATTTCCGAGTACAGTTTTTGCAAGAATTACTCTACCTCCAAAACTTAAGGATCTCGCTTTCCAAGTTGTAAGGTTTGCATGAAATTTATCAATAATTAGTCTCCAAGCATTCATCAAATTCATATTTTCACCGACCGGAATTCTCAGATAGGTGAATGGGATTGTTAAAGGTTCGCATCCCAGTGGGGCTGCTCAGTTTGAAGATTCCACATGAGAAACTCCAACTCTATAAACCTTTGACTTTCTGAAATTTACCTTCAATCCTAATGATACGTGGAAGCACCTTAAGATATTTCTGCATTCATATAATCATTATATTCGATTAGATTAGGCCAAAATTAAAATTACATCTATCAAATATTTCAATACCCAACATTAATGGGCTCATAAATCCATTGCTTATTGACTTCTCAATATCCAACATTAATGGATTACAATTTGGTCATAAACTCATAGCTTATTGACTGCAATTTCGTTATACTATTTAAGGTTTGAAAAAAATTATTCATACTTCAAATAAATCAGATTTTACAAGTGTTTAATGTATACTTGTATAATCTTATTTTGAAGAGACTGACATATCATATGAAATTGAGGAACAGAAATGGTAGGTAACCAAATGCCATTTGCGATTTTCTAATGCCAAAATGTGCCAAAATTCAAATTTCTTTATTTAATCGTAAACTCCTAGTCCGAATAACAAAAAGTTTAAATGTCGTGCTTAACTGCTTATTACACACGACAAATATTTACTGGAGCCAATTTTCATTCTGTGTTGGTCTTTCTTTATTTCAAGATCAATATTACTGGAGCCCATTTTCATTTTGAGTTCCAATTTAAAAACAAACAGTAACTTTTTAGTCGACCAACCCCTGACCTTCTCTCTCTCTCTGCATTCCAGTATTTCTAGTCTCGATGATCGATTAATGGTCGGACGAACGGATCAAATGACGAAGAAGCCGAGAGTACCGGGGGTGCTATGGAAATTGTTCCAAAACCGTGCCTGCACACTCGCCGAAACCATACTCTCCTTCATACCTCCACCGTCGTCGGCGACGGTTCAATGCCGTTGCAAGGATAGTCGCCATTGCCTCCGTTGCTGTTGCGACGGTGACCGTATGTCGTTTCTGATCAGGGAAGACGACCCATCCGACTACTCTAAGCTCCTCAATCAATGCTTTGTAGTCGTCTCGGACAATGCACCCTCTCTTCCTCCTTTCGATCCTCATTCTCGTTGGTCCCAACTTCAGGCCTCTCTCTCTCTCTCTCTCACACACACACACACACTCACACACAAGTTCATGTATTTTTTTTTTTTGGAAGAAAAGAGGTGCAATTTGACTTATACGAAAATGAAAAATGGAGGAAAATCTGAGATTAAGTTTGATCCATGAAATGAAAATATATATTTGAGTATTTCGAAAGGAAAACCTCAATTTCGTACATGAAGTCATCACTACTCCATCTACTTCAATCAATTTGGATTTCATTACAATTGTATTGATGGCTATGTGCAGATTGTTAGAATGACCATTGAAATGATGTCATGTGAGAATGTGCTCACAAAAAATATGATATGCGCAGGCTATAACAAGGTACGCCATTGTTTGGGGTTAGCTGAACTTGTAAGCTGCACCCTTTTGGTGTCTTCAGGACTTTTACTTTCTTTCTCTCTTCCAACAAAATACGAGCTCTGCATCTACAATAAACATATCCTACTGCTAATGACTTCATATCTCTTGACAGCAATTTCGCTCAAGCTTCATTTTAGAAGCTCTTACATCAGCTTCATGGAGTCTGCTATTACAGAGGGTAATACATATCTGATTTGTTGGGTTGAATTCTTGCATTAATTTACCCTCTCCTTCCCAAAATAATGAAAATTTCGTATAGATCATGATAGACGAATCTTTGTGAAGGGAGTAAACAAGAAATCAATTTAAAGTAAAAATTGAAAAGACCGAATTGAAGATATAAGGGTTTTTCTTGTTCTCAATGTCCTTTGTCTATCTATTTATCTGGGTTAATCTTTTTACCATATACCATATGCAGATAGGAGATGGCCTCATGGTTTATCTACTGAAATATTCTTCAATATTTATCCCCATACATCGAAAGAAACACCATCAGGTAGCAGGAATTCCCATTGATGACATGTGCTGGAAACTCTTGAAGCAGACATCCGAATCCAAAAATCAGCAGCCTTCATTAGGTAAAACGCTTCATATGTAGCTTTTTCCCACTTTTTTTCACCTTATCTTTTATCTGTTCATCATCATCTTCTTCTTATGATTTTCTTTTTAGTCCAGAAAGTTCCAGAGAGATACCATGAAGTTAATAGTCAAGAACATTCAATGACTTGTCTTGGATGTGATATCAAGGGCTCTGTAACTCCATCTACAAAACTTCATATGAAACAATGCTCAAAGATGAGTTGTCATGGAGATTCCAATTCCATAACAGATGCTGACTGTAATGGACCCACACCCACCCAAGAAGATGGAGTTCTGACTGTGCATCAATCTAGGAAACGGTTAAGATCATATGCTTGGCTACACAGACATAAACTTAGGAAGTTGTCATCTCAGAACATGTGTGATTCAAACTCAGAGAAGGTAATTTCTTTTCCATTATATATAATCTCATCAATGGTTTTTGTTTGTCTCATTGTCTGATACTTGCATATGATCAATCTGGCAGATGAGAATCCCATGTTCTTGTTGTTCAATTTGGAGAACACTTCAAAAAGTTCCCAGAAAAGCTCAAATTAGTAAGCAATCCATGTTATATAAACTAGAACATGCCTCATCGATTCTTCCAGGAAAACGTATCCTGTTCCAGTCTTTATACATTTTGTACAAAACTTTATAATCATTATTAATATCAAAAGGTACCTTGATTGTTTGATCTTAACAATGTTAAAAGACATAATCAATTCCCTGAAGCCAAATATTGCTGGAGCAAATGCACTCTTTAAAGAAATATTTGGATCAAGTAATGACTCTCATTCAACCCTATGCTTTCACAGCAATAACATTTGTGTTATTGGAACAACATGCTTGTGAGTGACATTAACAATTTAACATTAATTATAAATACATAAATTATATTCATTCTTTCACTTCTTTTTTTAACTCTTACAGATATCACTCTCTTCATAAGCTTCTCAAGATTCTTATAAGAAAAGCCATTCATTGCCCACGTCTAAAGTTATTAAAAAAACATATCTTTGATAAAAAAGATTTACATTGCTCAAAAGGGCAAGTGGTGTCTTTTATATGGGCAGCTTCTAGAAGCATTGTTCCCGAAGAACTACTAGGAGATTTGAGAACCCTAAGAAAGAATATTTCCAAGTTTATCAGATTAAGGATATATGAGAAGTTTTCTTTACATCAATGTATGCATAAACTCAAAACATCAAACTTCTCCTTTCTATCAAACAACCACTCTTTCTGCAACTCGAGCAACATTGACCATAAGTTTGGGGAAGTCAAACAAAGACTTTTAGGAAGATGGATATATTGGTTCTTTACAAGCTTCATAGTGTCATTAATACAAGCAAACTTTTATGTAACTGAAAGTGAGCATGGAAGACTAGATGTTTTCTTTTATGAGAAATCAATTTGGGAGAAATTGATGAAAAGCTCAGTGTCATCCTTAAAAGAAAAGTGCTACAGTTTATTAGATGTGAACGATGTTAAAAAGATTCTAAGTAGTCGAAAATTTGGTTTCTCAAGGGTAAGATTTTGTCCAAAACCAAATGGAATAAGACCATTAGCCAATCTTAAATCATCATCAAGATTACCTAAAACCAATAAAAGCTTCAAAGCTGTAAACATTGTTCTTCGTGATTTGCACGCTGCACTAAAAGACATTCAACTCAAAACACCAGAAAAGTTGGGATCTTCGGTTTTCAGTTACAATGATGTCCACAGAAAGCTGCGTGGTTTCTTGACACGTGTCAAAAGTGGATTCGAGAGTTCGCCTTGTGTTTATTATATGGTTGTTGCTGATGTCCAGAAAGCTTACGATTCAATTGATCAAGATAAGCTTCTTCATGTGATGAAAGATGTTATAACAGATGATCATCTTTTACATGAAACACACAATGTCATCATTTCAAAGAGAAACATTCAAATCTGTCAAAACATTAATTTGTCTAGACAGTTTCGATCTCATCTTCATTCTCCCTCATCTCACAGCATTCTTGTTGATATGGTATTACTTTTCAAATATAATTTATATATAATATGAATTAAAAAAAATTAATTGTATGATGTTTTGACTTTAGGGAAGAAAAAGAACAGCAAGGAAAGACGAATTACTTTCTACTTTGAGACAACATGTTAAGTACAATATGTTGCGTATAGACAAAAGTTTTTATCTCCAAAACGTTGGTATACCTCAAGGAAGTATTTTGTCTTCATTGTTGTGCTCGTTTTACTATGGACATATGGAAAATCGTAAACTTGTTCCATTTCTTGATAAGGTTTCTGAAGGGCATTTTGGTCAGAATTTGTTACTTAGGTTTATTGATGACTTTATTTTCGTCTCGACATCAAAGAAACAGGCTCTTGCGTTCTTGTCGAGGCTTGAAAGAGGATTCTGTGAGTATAATTGTAACATGAACAAAGAAAAATTTGGTTTAAGTTTTGATGGTGAGAAAATTAGGGCAGAAGAATCGACTAGGGTTTACTTTGATGAAGATGGTAATAAGTTTTTGAAGTGGAGTGGTTTGTTTATCAACTGCAAGACTCTAGAAGTTCAGGCAGACTACACCAGGTTTTATTTTGTTTTTAAAATGTTATATATAATCATGTTATGTTGTTATATTTTTATAAACTTTTTTTTAATGATGTTTTAATAAGGTACATGGTAGGGAATATAAGTTCAAGTCTTACAGTTAGTTGGCTAGGGAATCCAGTTTGTGATTTGAGGGAAAAACTGTGCAACTATTTGCGACCAAAATGTCATGCGATTTTCTATGATTCAAAGATCAATTCAGCTTCTGTTGTGAGATTGAATATCTATCAATCGTTTGTGATATGCGCAATGAAGTTCCATTGCTATGTTTGTGATTTATCTAACATCTATAAGTTTGAATCGGCGTCCTATATGAACATCATCCACAACTCTTTGAGGTAATAAAAGCAATATATATATATATATATATATATATATATATATATATATATATATATATATATATGTATATATATATATTATTCTGATGTGTTATGGTTGATGAATTTTATAAATGTGATTTGTTTATGATTTTGTTAGGTTTATGTATAAGCTTATGAAGAAACGGATGTATTCTTGTGTGGTGAGTATGATTGATGATAGTTTAAGGCCGATTTTGAGAGTGAAAAGGAGGGAAGTGGAATGGCTTGGATTAAGAGCTTATTTGGAGGTGTTGAAGCGAAAGCAAGGGAGGTATAAGGAGGTGTTATATTTGTTGGAGTTGAAGTTGAAGTCGCTTAATGTAGGAAGAATAGTGTCACCTGCCTTGAAGTTTGCCGTTGACAAGTCAAACTCCTCAGTACTCTGGAAAATCAAGTATTGAATCCTTTTAACTTGAAAGCTTACTTTCAATCCTTTTTTGTGCTATGTGAAGTTGTACCATGTAGGAAAAGGGTTGTACATTTTTGAATCCCAAAACATGAATCATGATCATATATTAAGCTCACAACCATTACATCTATATAACTCATGCAAGTTAAATAAGATGGATCAATAATTGAAATAACATACTTAATCAAAATCCTAGTCATAAATCAAGTACATATTACATCGTCTACATCATTCTCCTTGCACAAAATAAATAAATAAAAAAAAAAAAAAAAAAAAAACTTTCAACTTCAAGAAAGGAGAAACAAAACACGTGATCAAAAACTTGATGATTTACATTTGTTTCGAGGAATTGTTGCCTGTAACACAAGATTTGACCAACTCCTTCAACCCTCTCTTTTTCTTTCTCTCTGTCGTCTTCTTCTTCAGAGCCTCTTCTTCAACAAGTCTCCTTTTCTCTCCTTCTATCTCCTCTTCCATCTGCATACACAACTAATCATCGCAAAAACTCAGATCAATATATTATACATGCTCTAAAAACGTAGTCCATAGCTACTTGGATAAGCTTGATGCATGTGTATTACCTTGGCTACACGCTCTTCCACATAAAGTAGCCTCTCGATGAGTGTGCCTTTGACTCCTGTCTCCACTATCACGTCGTCAATCGGACGACAGTGCTTCTCTAAGCTCCTGGGAGAGAAATCAATGGATGATATTTGACCTTCGCTAGTCAATGTGCCACTCGATGGTGTCGATGCACAAGAACTCTTCGGTGTTCTGTTTCCCCCTCGTATTTCTTCCAATTGCCTCACCTGTATGTCCACAGTTTCAAATCAATCGCCAAATTTTTAACAAAAAAATATTACCAAGTCATCAATATGATAATTAGTTATATAAACTGGTTAATTAGATACAAAACCAGATCATACTGGAAACTCACAATGGTATCGAGACGATCAAGCCTGGAAAGCATGGGTTCTTCGACTGTACCTACCGCCATTGTTTAAAGCTTGAAACACAACTTTGTGCGAAAACTGCTCTTACTTTGTTTTTTTTTCCCGGGAATAAAAGCTTAAAAGACTTCAGGGTTTCCCTCTTTAATCTTTTATTGATGCATTGGGAAGAATGAAGATGATTTTATATATGCGTTTCATTTATGCAACTGAAGGTCGACGTGTGGCCGGAGATCGGCAGGTGGCGAATTGGGTTTGAAGCCACGTTGCATGATTACGTGTCGTAGATAAGATTGTTATCGGGGACATGCATATATGGTACTTTGTTGGGAGTATTTTCTTTGCAAGTCCCTTTAGTTTTAACCTATCGCAAAATATCAAAATATATTATTTATTATTCATATATAATTTTTTTGAATAGTCGGATATATTATAAAGAAAATCTAGCAAATACTTAGAGGTATAGTAAGAACAAGTGGTGACAGTTACAATGTAATTATATCATCAATTTAACCAACTAATCAGGAGATATTTGTTTTAAGGAAAGAAAGGATTACTATGAAGTTCATATGATAAAGTAGAGTGGGATTTAGGCTCCTCACTTGAATGGAGTTTGTAGTTGTATCACGAATCCTTGATCATATATTTGGCGAATTTAAAGGTTCAAATTGTGGAGGGTCTTCAATTTCATACTTAATTTAGGAGCGGTGATTACAATTTGTATCACATGTTATGATTTTGATCAACCTATTAAAATTAAATTTATGTTTGTGTATCATTGTTACTACACGGATCTTGATCCTTTTTTTTCATCATATGCTACGAGGGTTCGTTACGTAAAATATTGAACGATCACGTTTGTATCATAGTATATCATAAACTTTAGGGGTTTAGAAAATCATTTGCATTTGCATGCATGATTCGTGATCGGTAGACATAGGATTTAAACGATTAGCGGAGACCGAGGGGGTCATAGGTCATAACTTCTTTGCTCTTCAAAAGTTTGTTGAAAATTTTGTTCATACTTAAGAAGTGTAGTTATTATTAATATTGAGATAGTCTTAATTTTATTTACTCACCAAGACAGGAGATGTCGGTATAGAATATTCAGAAAATCAATCACATGAATCGTAGTGTAATGATATGTATTATTTATAATTATAAAAATAAGAAATACAAGATTACAAAAATTTACTCCTATAATAAAGGAGTTGATAAATACAAATATGCAATAGCTTAGTAACACGTTATTATTTGTGATGCATTATTACCTGTTAAAATTAAGTAATCCACATAAACCAATAAGTACATGATGCATGATTCTTAACGAATAGGGATGTATTAGCATGACTGCAAATAAAACCTTGAAGCAAGAAAGAGCTCAGGCATTGAAACCAGGCTCATGGGGCTTGTTTTAAGCCATACAAACCGTGGATGCTTTATATAACTTGCATACATGGTTACAATATTAAGGATCAATAAACCCAAGTGGCTGCTCCATGAAAACCATTTTATTTAAATCACCATGTAGAAATGTGTTTTTAACATCAAGTTGATGCAAATGCCAATCGTTTAAAACAACAAGAGAAAGAACAACACGAACCGTGGATGCTTTTACAACGGGGCTAAAAGTATGAGAATAGTCAAGACCGGGAATCTGAGTAAAACCTTGAGCGACCAAACGTGCTTTAAAATGTTCAACGGATCCATCAGAATTATATTTGGTGCGAAAACCCATTTTGAACCATCGACATTTGAAGCAATTGGGCGTGGAACCAATATTTAAGTTTTGTTTTGATTTAGTGCTTTCATTTCATCGTACATAGCATCTAACCACTGAGGATGTTTAGCTACATACTTGAACCCTTTTGGTTGATGGAAAGAGAGTAAGGCAGCATGAAAGCCATGTACAATCAGAGTGTAACATCCCGACTCCCAGGTATTAATTTGAAGCTTTTATACTCTCATTTTTAGACCTACTCGACGAGTTGGCTGCCCCAACTTGTTGTGTAGAAACTGATCAGGCCATGTGGTTTATGGAACCAACTCGATGAGTTGGAGGACCCTAACTTGATGAGTTGACATTGTGCATGAAAACCCTAATTTTTAGGGTTTTCACCCTATTTAAAGGACCTTAAGTCCTCTATATAGCCTCCCGTACCACCTTCACATTCAGAGACAAACCCTAATCGAGCTAACCTCCTTTTGAGTGTGTGTGTGTGTGAGGCTAAAAGAGTGTGTGATTGTTGCATTTCTTGAAGAGGCTTGAGGATTGAGAAGCTTGGAACTAGAAGGGGTTTGTAGATCGAGCATCTACTTCGTTTCGACATTCATTTGGAGGTTAAAAGTCATTACCTTGATCCTTTTCTTGTTAGATCTCTTCACTCAAGAGTTTAGGATCATTTCTAGCTCATTCTTAAATCATTTCTGGTATTGAGCACATATTTGAAGTGAGGAATTCAGATCTGGACTCCTCTACCCCCTTATGGACATAAAGTCCTCGAATTTAGCAAGCTTTATCCCTTATCTATGCCCTAAACCTCTTCCTAAGACTAGGTTGGGTGTTTTAGTCTCTTGAAGCCTTTCCTTTGAAAGCGAAGTACCTGAAACCAAAACTGAAAACCGTAAGCACGAAGATTAGTGAGTTCCCCCATCACACCACATATAATATAAACACATAATGCCTAGCATACCTGGGTGTTGGCCTCCCCTACAGTATCTTTTAACCGGTAACTGGCTAGCATATCTGGGTGCTGGCCTCCCCTTCGGTATCTTTCAGCGGTAACTGTCTAGCGTATCTGGGTGCTGGCCTCCCATTCGGTATCTTTCAACCAGTAACTGGGGATTATTTCACCCCTATCACTACCACATAATAACATATCCATATAAATCATATACTTCCTAGCATATATGGGTGCTGGTCTCCCCTTCGGTATCTTTCAACCAGTAACCGGGGACTATTTCTCCCCTACCACTACCACATAATAACATATCATACTAACACATAAAACATAACAGATAGTGGCAAACTAGCAAATTATCGCAAAGACAATCATCTCAAACATAATCACCTACTGGTGGACCGACATTGGTGCCTTAGACCCACCTCTAATGGAAGGTAACTCACCTCGCACAGTTGAAGTACCGTAGACAAAACTCTAGCTATTGGATGACACGTTCTCGAACTTTCAATCATCAAAATAACACCCAATCAGTAATTGGGTTCCAATACATATCCATAAGTCCATGCTTGGGGTTAAAGGCTAATTTACTCCCAACTTAGCTTGACTCAAGCCTAAGGTTCAATCCAAAGGCCCAAAAGTCAACTATGAGTCAAAGCCCAACATATGGTCCAATTTTCCAAATTGGGCCCAAACCTCTACATGGTCTTCCCTAAGGCCTAACCATTTAGTCTAGTCCAAACATTTGGCATTTCTAATGGCACAATATCTCATAATCATAAAGGCCCAATTATGGCCCATCTATGGCCCAATTTTCCAAATTACGCCCAAACCCCCCATATGGTCCTTACCCTAAAGCCCATCTATATATTCTTAATCCATATGATTGTTCTTGAATGGCCCATCAATAATCCAATCACCAAAGCCCAATAGAAAGGCCCAACTTAAGGCCCAAGTAAGATTAGGGTTTCACATAAAATGACAATTAGGGTTAAGTGTTTCTTGCTTAACCCATTAAGGACTTAATCCGTTAAGTCCACCAATCTACTAGGTCAATCATATAGTGTGATCAGGTTAATACCTACTCCCAATCCGGACATCCAAAAATGCGGGTCCCGACAACCCATAACCCATATAATCCAAAATAAGGGTTTTCTAACCCTACTTAGGGTTTCCAATCCAATCATAACCCAATAGGCCCAAAAGATAAGTCCTTAGATCTATTAGGGTTTCATTAGGCCCACTAGGGTTTCATAAGTCGGGCACCACTCACTACTACCTCGGGTAGTGGTGGTCAACGGCGACTCACATCGGTGGCAACCACCTCACAGTGGTGGTTATGGTTCTAGTCCATTTTGTCCAAGCATCCCAAACGAAATCTAAACACAAACAAAGCACACCGCCACCTAACTCGGCGGCTGGTGGTGGTTATGATTTTTCTTTTTATTATTCTAGCACCGATTACAACATTACAATGTAAAATCCCAAATAACACACACACACACAACCACCTTTGTGGTGGCCGACGGTGGCATATGGTGGCAGCCACCACCTCACGGTGGTGGTGGCCTTTTCTCGGTTTTCCGACCGACAAACCCATACACAACACCCGCTCATTGTAGAAACACACACACACATTTTTTATTGCAAAGTGGACCCATCCACCCACCTGGTGGTGTTTGGTGACGACAACATCAACAAAAGCGGCAACAACTGTGGTTGACGATGTTGGTCAAGGCTAGAACATATCACCGGCGGAAGGAGGAGAATGGTGGAACCGTGAGCGACGGAAACAGCGGTAGCAGGATTCCGCTCAGTCTTCATTGATGGTAGAAAAGGAGAAGCGATGTTGTTAGCAGTCGCGATGTGCGGCGGTGGTTTCCGTCTTCACTAAAGCGATATAATGACCATAGTTCTCCCGTCGTTCTCAAACCATGCGTCCGCATTCATAGCTCCGACTCTGGTCTCTGGTTTCTCCCTCTCTCTCTCTCTCTCACAGCTGTTCACGATGTCCGGTGGTGTTTCAATGGTGATTCGGTTCAACTTCACTCATATTTCCTGTCAATCTTCGATGCTGCTGGTGACAAGGGCTGCTCGATAGTGCTAGATGGTCGGAGAATGAACGAGGTGAATGGTGGCGGCGGCTGGAAGAGGGAGGCATAAGGGTGGCTGCTGGTGAGGGGCTCCTAGGGTTAGGGTTTGGGTTATGAGGGTAACAACATATCAAACCTTTTCCATAATGACGCTTCCAATCCCTCCTTCTCCTTTTTCTTTCAAACTAAGTCCTTAATTTACCCTTTCTACCCTGGCTTTGGAAATCCCTTTTAAATCCAATCCGTAATTTACCCAACAGCCCCCAGATCTAAAAATCCTTTCATAATAAGCCCAATAGTTACCAAACAGCCCCTCCTCTACCAATTATTTTCAAATGAACTCCAAAATTTACTCTTTAGCTCCTGTCTTCTAAGAATCTTTACAAAATAAATCTTGAATATACACTTTAACCCCCGAATAATCCAAATTATAACATTTGGCTCCCGAAAACCAACACCTCACTAAAATTATGGATTTTAGGGTTACTATTCATATTAATTTTATCTATTTATTTATTTAATAAATGGGGTGTTACAACATACATATAAACAAATAGTCATACAGATCTAACAGATCACTAATCATGGCAACCATTCTATAACCAGGACACCGATCTAACCGATCACTAACATAGCAACCATCACCGATCTCTAACATAACAACCATCCTATAACTTGGATACTGATCTAACAGATCACTAACATAGCAACCATCCTATAACCAGGATACAAATAACAAAGCATATCGTGCAATAAACCCGGATACAAATCCGAAAAGGGCCGATATTGGTACCTTCGACACTGTTAGTATAGTGAGGGCAACTCACCTCTCCTGTAGCTCGGAATGATAATATCAATCTCCTCCAAATACAGTTCCAACACTAATGCCTATATCCACTAATGATCTAATTCTATAAGTTCCCAAATTACCAAAATACCCCTAAAAGTCAAGTGGTCAACCCTTGGTCAAAGTCAAAGGTCAAAGTCAACAGTCCATGTTGACTCGACTCGTCGAGTGCAGCTAGCAACTCGGTGAGCTCCTTAAGAACTCAGAAGTTACCCAAAACCCTAATTGACTCGCTGATTTTCCAACCAACTCGTCGAGTCCATGCGTGTCCAGATGTCGGGGAAAACCCTAACTGACTCATCGAGTCCTCTTAGTGACTTGCCGAGCTCATGCAGAATCAAATACGGGAAACCCTCATATGACTCACCGAGTCGACTAAGTGACTCATCGAGTTCATGCGGTCCTTTATTTACACAGATGTTTTTAAGCCACCCCAAAGCTCCATATTGCGGATCCAACCTCATAGGACATGGTTTCCACGTAAAGTTGCAAACTTTACGTGCATGCATGGTCCTAAATGCCAAAACTAGACTAAGATAAATATTAACTCAAAGGGAAAGGTTCATGCTTGCCAAATCTCATAACTTTATAGCTATAGGGACCAAGGGAAGTCTAGATCTAAAGTTACAACTTTAGATCTTGTCCCAATACTTGAAATGACTCCCAAATGTGCTAAAGATGGCCCTAAACCCAAACATAAAGAGATTTAGCTAGAGATTGTTACCTTCAAAATGATGCCAAGACGAAGTAAAGTTAGATCCACAAGCTCCTTTTTTGCTCCAAGCTTCTTATACTTCACACCTTCTTCACACAAAGCACCAAAGTCACTCTTTAAGCCTCACAATCACTCAAGAACAAGGTTAAAAGCGATTAGGGTTTCTCTTAGCCGTCAAGGGGTGGTAAAGGGCTGGAGGAAGGGACTTAAGGTCCTTTAAATAGGGTGCAAACCCTAAAAAATTAGGGTTTCATCTCCCAACTCCTACTCGTCGAGTCTGGGTCCTCCGACTCGTCGAGTAGATCCAATGATCCATGCGGGCTAACCCGCCTCTACACGAAGAGTTGGGGGCAACCAAATCGTCGAGTAGGTCCATTAGTATGTATATAATGCTTTTAAACTTGTAATTGGGAGTCGGGGTGTTACACACACAAAGTAACAAATAAAAAATTAACCTCATTATTAGAAATCAAGTTATTGAATATTTTGAATAAATCACGAAATTCGAAACTCCCCATTATCCAATAAAACCCTAAAATGCCTAATAATAAACCAAAATCACCAACATGATTAGTTACAAACGCCTTTTGACAAGCCTTTACTGCAACAGGTCGTGTGAACCAAAATCTTATTAATAGATACAAACATATTCCAAATAATTCCCAAAAAATATAAATTTGTATCAAATTTAACACAAGTAACTAATCCCATCATGGAAGTACTGAAAAACTCATATAAGTAAAAATTCTCAAATATCCATGGTTATGAGACATATAATTATAACTATAAATAAGAACCAGAATTCCAATAGTAGTGATTAATATTAACATAATAGAAGTAAGTTGATCGATCAAGTATCCAAATTCTAAAGAAAAATCATTATTGATAATCCAAGACCATACATATTGATAGATATAATTGTTATTTATTTGCTGAACAGATTCATGGAAAAAATCATGACTATACTTAACAATAAAACACTCTGAAAAAACCACATACGACGAAGACTTTTTGTTGCCATCTGAAAAAGAAGAAATCCCAACCCTATTAACATAGGAGCTTGAAGTGGAAGGAAATGTATTATCCACGCATATTGATATGTATGTTCCATAAAAAAAAAAGTTTTTTATCCTTAATTAATTGTTTCCGATTCACTGGATCTTACCTCATTCGAAAAAAGTCAATAAAAAATCAAGATATGCACTAACTTATTTAATAATTTTAGATTAGCATTTATTTTGAGTCTTTTCAGAATCGTTTAAATCAAATATTCAAAACAGAAGTTACAATTGGTCAAAAGAGATGACGAAGTTAGATATAAAAATGAATTGAGATCTTTTGGCTCAATTTTATCCTAATTTTGCCAATATAATGAATTGGGATATGAATGGAATATAATGAATTTATCTTGAATCGGGATCTTTTGGCTCAACTTTATCCCAGTTTTGCCGAGGGAGCAACCCCATTTTTAACCTTGAATTGGTCAAAATATGCAGACTTTCTTGCTTTTCGTGGAGGATTAGACCCAGTAACTGGAGGTCTATGGCTAACTGATACATCACACCAATCATTTAGCTATTGCAATTCTTTTTTTGATAGCGGGTCACATGTATATGACCAACTGGGGCATTGATCATGGTCTAAAAGATATTTTAGAAGCTCATGAAGGTTCCTTTACGGACTAAACCTGGATGAGTATTAGAAGGAAAAAAAAACCCTCCAAATGGTAAGTTGTATAACCTTTGTGTTAGGTGTGATATTATTAATACTAATAATTTACAATGTCGTGAAACTTTTTAACAATTTTAGCTATTGTTCATAGCTTTTCTACGATGTTTTTGTAAGGAGATTTAGATTATGTTTGACATACTAGTTAGCTGAAAAGGTAACTGATAACGGAAAATTTAGTTGTTAAATAAAAAACTAACTGATAAAAATTGATATTTGGTAAAATTAACTAAAATATATAAAATGATATTTTAAAGAATATGCTTAGAAAATTAATTAAGCGGTTTATTTGAAAATTTTTAAAAATCTTCTAAAAAACTAGTGTAAGTAGTTTTTTAAAAAGTTAGTGTAAGTAGCTTTTTAAAAAGCTAACTTATAAACTACTTTTTTATTAAGATGATGTTTTAAAAAAAACAGTTTTCACAAAGTTATTTTTTACAACTTTTTTATATATTCGTTTTGGTTTATGTTTATTTAAGATTCTTCCGTTTTTATAAATTAGTTTTTTTTTTTTTTTTACATGTAGGGTTGTAAACATGTAGAAATTGTTTTTTTTCACAACCAGAAATATAATCTTATATAATTGGTAAATTATGTCTAATCAAATTGCATATTACATAAATAATAAAATTTCCGCATATTACATATTGTTTCCATATAATGACAGCAACAAAATGTTAATCTCCATCAATTTAATACCAACTAAATCTTCAGAAACGAAACTCCTAATTTCCTAGAAGCGTTTATTTACATGTATAAAGGATGGAAATTTAAGACTTCAAGCGATAAACTGTAAGTATTTATTTAGAAGTCAAAGCTCGAATTAAAATTGACCCATATATATTCTCTTCTTAAACTTCAAAATATTTCCTTAACAAATTTTCATCATTTATTTACAATTTCTACAAACTCAATTATAATTTTTTTTTACCAAGTGTTGAAATTAGTCGGTAGTTTTTTCATCAGCAGCAGGCCAAACAATTGTTTCCAAGAGTCTTTCCCTCATCAACTCCAAGTTTTCATCCGAAATTTCTTTGTATATTTCACCATGATCGCATTGCTACATACATCACCATTACCATGTAATAATATAATATATTATTATCTTTTTCTCCAATAAGCAATTAAAAAACGATTATATTACCTTAATCCATTTTCCATATAGGTGAAGACGCGTTATCATCACTCTTTCAGCAAGATCTTGATATTCCTAAAAAATAGAAAATTAATATCAACTTTTTACTTCCCACATGTTGAATATTCATCTCAAACTTGTTGAATTTTTTTTAAAAAAAATTGCCTTTGCAAGAATCCGAAGAAATCGTTTCCCATCTGCAGGATCATTTTCAGCAATGAAACTGCAAATCAACAACTTGAAATCAATCAAACAAACTTGAAACATTTTAAGGAACAAAACATAACATATGATTATAGAAGAAGAAGAAGAAGAAGAAACACTTGCTTGTGTAGCCAGATATATTGAGGAGGATTCATCTCATACAGTTGATAAAGAACAGTTCTAACAGCTTTCGCTGTGAAACAATTCCTTAATTCCTGCACCCAAATAACCATTTTTTTTCCTCAACAAACTCCATTAATGTGTTTGTGTGTATGTGTGTGAAAAAAGAAAAAAGAAGTTACCAATTTAACGTCATTAAAGACCTCTTCATACTGCCCACCAAGTTCATTAACGATTGTTTTCCTAATCTTTCTTGAATTCTTATGTTTTCTCATCCCCACTTGGTTTTTCTTCATTTTCAGACTACATTTACCCTCTAAAAACAATCCAAAACATGGACATGATTTTGCATTTGCAGACATAGCCATAACCTCAATCATGGCGTTTCAACGCTTCAAAGCTATATTATGAATAACAATTCTGATTTATATATATACATAAACAAGATAAAAAAAATGGTATCTTCTTTGTCTTGTTCTCAGATTCTAAGGTCCAAATTGATTCAGATAAAATATCTTTAATCTACACAACTCAAGTAATAAATAACCACATATATATATATATGAAACAATATATCCCGTGACTTGTGAGAGTGTATTACAAATAATAAAACTGGAAATTACAATTATAAAAGTTTTTTCCGAATTACAAATTCCAACAAGCATACAAAATTGTAAAAAAAAATAAATATATGTATCGAGTGTCTTGAATAAAAAAAGAAAAAAAATACTAGTAGTAAAAGTGTAAATTAACAATTAATTCCACAATAGGTGACATCAGGGCCAGTAACTTTAGTGGTGAAGGGATCAATTCGGACCCAAAGGAGAGAGAAAATGGAAGCAAGAAGAATAGACCACACAACAACAATGGTGGGGGTGCGATTTTGTTTCCCCATAAGACCCTTGAGGAAGGGGTAAAGATGTACAATCACCCAAAACGCAAAGAAAAGTTTACCAAAAAGTGGACCCCACGACTGGTAACCACTGTTGATGGCGTAAGATATTCCGGCCACCACTCCGACCAAGTTCACGATTAGGAGAGTCGTCGGTGGGATTAAAAGCGTCGTCCATTTGAACAAATACAGCTCAGCAAAATCACCATCTTCATCTGACGCCTTTGATGTCACTGTGAAATTAGTGTCGATACCTGCAAGTACTTTTAGCAAACCTTGAAACACTGCAAAAAAATGGGCGGAGACACCTCCGATAACCCAAAACTGCTCGTTCCTCCACCACTCATCGATTCCGACACCGCTCCACCTCATTTCAAGAATACCGGTGGCAAAGATGGAAAGAAAGAGGGATATAAACCATAAACTCGCAAGGTTACTGATCTGCAATTATAAAAAAAAAAATCAAAGAACTAATTAATTAATCTCTGTGGCATATCATCAAACAGGTTGTGTGCACATCGTCATGTAAGTGTGGAATTCTTTTTTTACCTGTGGGATGATGAACTTTCCGGTGAGAAGACAGACGGCGGGAAGAGTACAGTAGATGAGAAGAGGGATGGAAGTGATGGGGTAGATGGTGGTGTTGATGTAGGCAAATCTTTCCAGCCATTTGAGTCTTCCATTATATCCGTACCATATAGGACAATGTCTGCTGAAAAGAATTTCCACCGATCCCAAAGCCCACCGGAGCACTTGGTTTAAACGATCGGAAAGATTGATAGGGGCGGAACCCTTGAAGGCTGCCCGTGGTGGCATGCAGTATATCGACCGCCATCCACGAGCATGCATCTTAAATCCCGTCAGAATATCCTCCGTCACCGATCCATAAATCCATCCTATCTGCACATTATCAACAGTTTCCACAATTGAAAATCGCGTTTTATTTTTTTTGGAATCAAGAACAAATATGATTTATTATTTTTATTTTTTTATATTTTACCTCAGCTCCCCAATCTGTTTTGTCTTCATAACCACAACTGATGACATGAATCGCTTCTTTCAACAGAGTTTCAGGTGCTGCAGATTGAGGGACGCCTCCATTTTCCATAAGTGTAGATGCAACAAACACAGCCGATTGTCCAAATCTTTTTTCAAGCGACATTTGTGACATAAGCAATGATTTCTCATCATCAAATCCAGCACCTGATCAAGCAAATGAAAACTATATTAAAAAGAAAAAAAAAATGAACCAAATCAAGAAAATGGAAGAAGTATATAACAAGATCATGATACACATACCTTCAACCCCTTCTTCTATATCTTCCAGGTTGAATATAGGCACAGTGGGGTCAACGTTTTTGTTTGACTTCTTTTTATCTGATCCCTTTTTGCTTGATTTGGAACTCTTCTTTCGTGATCCACCAAAGCAAGAAGAAAAGAAGCCGTCTTCTCTCTTCTTCTTAGGCTTAAGTGGAGGTTCATAACCATATAAAGCTGTTCTATTGAACACACATCCAGTCCCCACATAAACTGGACCTTGAATCCCATCTAAACCTCTCAAGTTAATCTATTCAAACAAATTAAACAGTTAAGTCAAATGCATAAGTATGAAGAAATATAGATTAAAAAGATCAAGTAAGATGAAAGAACTCACATCAAAGAACACTGTGTTTCTGTTAGCATATCGATCGTTTCTATCAATACCATCAAATCTCTGTGGAAACTGTACATAACATACGTATTTTCCAAGATTTGGATCCATCATAAAACACATAGCTTCTCTAATAGCCTTACTGTTGTTAATGTAATGATCACAATCAAGATTCAACAAAAAGGGGCCATTTGTAAGAACTGCAGATACTCGAACCTGCAATCAACAGGATTCAAATCCATCTATATAAGCCACATATATACATATGTCAAAAAGATTAAAACTTGAATTGCATTTGTGTAAAATTACGCACAAGGGAATTCATGGCACCAGCTTTCTTGTGATGTTGAAAACCTGGACGTTTTTCTCTTGAAACATAAACCAATCTTGGCAACTCATTACCCTCACTATCAAGCCCTCCATTTTGACCCAAGAAAACCTGAAGAAAAAAAATATATTTATAACTTAATTTAGACCTGAATTATCGTAAAAAAAAAAAAAAAAAAAAAAAAAAAAAAAAGTAAAAATGATTAAAGAGATTATTAATTTAACCTGAATCATTCCTGGATGATCCCTAGTGTTATTTCCAGGCCAAGGAGTTCCATCCTGCATAATCCAACCTTCATCAGGAACTTTCTGAGCTTTTGCAACAAGACCATTTACACGAATTTTAAACTCTTCATATTCTCTCTTCATAGCTCTTCGATCTTTAACAAAAGTTGGTTGAATTTTATCTTTCAAGTAGTCAATCTTCTGGTTGAAATACCATTCAGGAGCACGTGGCTCAATGTTGTATTTCTTGCAAAAAGGAACCCATTTTCTTGCAAACTCGGATGTTTCAGATAGTGACTCAAACGACAGCATGGCAGCCCCGTCATCAGACACGTAACATGACACCTTGTCAACCGGGTAGTCAACCGCCAGGATGGACAACACCGTGTTGGCTGTGACAAGTGGCGGCTCCTTCAACGGGTCCACAGTACTCACAAATATGTCTACAGCAGCTAGTTGTGATGGCTCCCCTTCTCTCTCATACCTATCAAAATAAATAATTAATCCATGTTTTTTCTTTCTTTCTTTAAAAGGGTATCAAGATCATACATTCATACATTTATATTACCTTAGGGATAGCCGATCAAGATAAGTCTCACGATTAATTGGAAGCCATTTAGGGAACTGATCCAAAATCCAAGAAACAGCAAACCAAATCTCACAAATAACAGAGAGTAACCATAATGGATATGCATTTGTCACAGGGTTTGTTATTCGGTAGTGCAAAAAGATGCAAAGAATAACTAGCCGAAGAACAATGACCATTCTGTATGGATTTATTCTTGATGATGGAATGGATACTTTTCTTGAAAGTGGTTGTCTGGCTTCATCGTTCCTTTACAAAGACAACATATCATATTATATTAATCAATCGATTAAAATCTCATATTTGATGAGATGAAAAAGTGAAAAACCAAGAAAGAAAAAAGGGAACTTACAGCAATGAATCATCAACTAACACATCTGTATTGGCATCAATGTCTTGACCTCTTTCGGAAGCAGGGCGACTTGTTGTCATTGGAACTACATTCTTGTCTTGTTTCATTTTCCACCCATCAACTCTCTCTTTCCATGCAACATTTCCTAGGCCTGTAGATCCGTAGTCTCTCACGGGGTCCACAACTCTAACATTGGCTGCAAACAAAACAAAACCATGTTTTTAGAAGTTGGAAAGTTTGTGGGTTATGAGTTATTATTAAGGGATAAAAGACATACGGGATTGATTCGCATATGCAGAATAAGGGAGTGAATGTGTTAGTCTTTCTCCACCAGGTGGAGGTGAGGATACTGAAAGGCGTTGTGGAGAAGCTGCAGACAACTCACCAGAAACCTGAAAAACAAGCAAGATATGGAAAGTATGCTCAAAATTACAGATTTGCCACAATGTAGACATGAATAGGATGAAAAAAAGCAAGTCAAGTGATGTAATATGTATGTACCTCTTGTCCACTGGTGAGTAAAGGTATGTGGTTATGAGAGACTTCTTTATCGTAATTTGGAGTATTAGTATCTTCCCCTCTTCCATATGTCATGTGCCAGCTCAGCATTCGCTCTGCAGTCTTCTGCTTCTCACTTTGGGTTTGTGAAGAGAAGGGGAAGTTAGTAGTTTCTTCATCAGTGTCAACATCCTCCTCTTTGTCTCCAGGAATAGCAGGGCTTCCTGTGATGAAGCAATTAAAGGTAGCTTAGATTTATAATGAGATAGAAATGTAACATGAAAGTGATTAAAGGTAACTTAGATTTATATTGAGAAATCATGAAAAATGTAGATCAAAACCTTTATGTCGTTTGTATCTAGTTTTGCATTGAGGGCAAGATTGATTGCCATCTTTGCGCTCGTATTCATAGCAAGGCCTGCAAACTGGGAATGCACAAACATCACAGGCACCAAAAGGGTCTCCTTTAGCTGTGGTGCCAACATTATCACCACAGATCTGGCAAACCTGACCACCGACATTCTTCATAGACGTCCCCTGCACAATCCGAACGTCAGAACAGTAAATTGTTCTTGTGGATCAGAGTGATGGTGATGGAATCGGGGACATAAGTTGATTATAGATCAAACACGAACTAATGTGAAACTGAGATGGATTTAATAACATGTTTTCAGGTGTTCAAATAAAAATCCAGATCAGAAAAATTCGAAGCAATTGACCTAAAAATGTGAAATCAGTAAGTACAGTACATGATTATTACTTACCCCGGTCTCTCCTTCCGATTCCATCTCCTCTAGCTTAGAAGAGCAATCAATCGATTAAAAATATCAGGAATCAGTCGCAGCCAGCAACCATAACCACGGATCTGTACGTGTGATCACCTGGTAAAGAAAATCAAACTTCAGTTCCCTTCCTCACTAAACGCAACTTGAAAATCAAGCATCCCGAAAAGGAAGCCACACTATGATTTCAAATCTCTATCATACACC